TCATGGCTACTTCACCGATCAGGCGACAACATCCACCACTACCAGCACAACCACATCAACAAACATTACGACGCATGACTCCGGAAGAAGTAATGCAACCAAGTAAAGCACAAGAGGCCTCAAAGGACACACGCAATCAGATCAACGGAGGAAGCAACCAAACAACCACAATCACTACGACAAACGTCAACGCAGTAACACTGTCCAACGGAAACTCCATCACCTCCTACACCAATGACGACACCTCAGAAGACCAGCCCATAATCTTCGACAACGAAGGTTACGATGAAACACAACTACTGGAAGGAATGAAACACGAATCAACAAATGAAACTACACGACGTCTACGACGAAGTAGATGCGTCTACAGTCGGTGACAACGTCATCAAAGAAGCAATCCCTACAAGGTGGGTCCACAGAAAGAACGGACCAGGCGCGCGAAGTAGAGTCGTCGCAAAAGGCTACACCGAAAAGATCGATGACGAACACTCTGTCTGCTTCTACACCGATGTTCACGACACTACGGACACTTCTCGCGCTACAGATGTCACGACCAAACTGGGCAGCGCGACTAGGCGACGTCTCTGCAGCATTTCCACATGCACCCATCACAGAAGACCACGACGGCAAGCAACGCAGGCAACTACGAATCACAATGCCGGTCAATCCCATGAAGGACTACAACAGGACACGGGGGTCAGGCCAGGAAATCCTGAACTACCTGAGCGAGCCCAACACGGTTCAAGCGCTACAAGACCTTCGTCGGTCCTAAAGAAACAACTGGCGCAACCATGCATGAAAGTACATGCTGGACTACAACATCAGGTGCTTCCTCGCGAACTGCGTTCAGTCTGACTACATCAGGGACTGAATCCTGAACAGCGTGAGCTACTGAGGACTACACCTCTTTCTTTTCACTACATCAGCATGGATGAACAACATCTGTTTTCATCACTACTGTCAATACTGCAACTTCCACTTCAGTTGAAAGATGCTACAATATCTTTCAACTGAGGGGCCGTGTGAGTGTACATGCGGTGTTGTACTACATAGCTTGTACATGACCGCAGTCCTTGAGCTTTACTACATCCAGAGCCCATGCAAAAGAAGAGCTGTGCAGACTGCAGGTTTGTCTGTGTTAACGACATTACAGCACTTGCACTTGTAGTAAACAACAGGCTGATTTTAATGAAAGAGAGAGAGAGAGAGAGAGAGAGAGAGACAGAGAAAGACAAAGAAAAAGAGAGAGAGAGAGAGAGAGAGACAGAGAGAGACAGAGAGAGAGAGAGAGAGAGAGACAGAGAGAGACAGAGAGAGAGAGAGAGGGAGAGAGGACGAGGGAACACATGGGGGAGGAGAAAAGAGAGAGAGGAAGAAGGAGAAAAGGGAGTGGACAATGTTGGCGGAGTGAGCCGGAGTTTCAAGCAATTCTTAGCCGCTGTGGGCACTTTGAAGGGATTGAAAGTTGTTTGAGGTTGTCATGCTTCTCCCCATTTGAGGGCTGAATCCTTTTCTGATTTTGTGACCTCTCAGAGGGAAAAGGAATGGCACTCTTAGATTCTTGTGGCCCTGCGTATTCTGTTTGGCCTTCCCTCATTTGGCATGGGGATGAATCGTTGAAGGTGTCACCCCGTATGAACCTCTGGGAAACAACTCCGAAGCCAGTGATTGAAACCTTGGCACGCTGGAAAGCGTTCACACTGTTCTGCACTACAAAATGTACAATGCTTTAAAAGAAGACATGGGGATGGGGCCAAATTAAAGCACCAGAAAACCGCTGGTTGTATTTAGTCCAGCTTTCCATTTACCAAATTCCATTTGAGGGTACCTATTTTTTTTCAATCACAGCCACATGACGTGCAGAGTTAGGCATCCGTTGGCTCAAGCCAAGATTGCTACAGCTCCTTTTGGCTTACGACCGCGACGATGGTTAAAAGTTCCTAGGCGCAGAGCAAACTACAAGAACCCTCCGACTGTGTTCAACTTATTTTCGAGAGACTACCGTCCATGCTAGCAGTAATTCCGAAAACAAAATAAACAACAGATGATCCCCGATCTACGGTTGCATAAAAAACAAAAACAAGCTTATATCCCTACCCCTTCCCAAGCCCACAGTGACAAGCAAGTGACACGCAAGCGACACGCCCGAGACAAAAAGTGACGCGCAGGCGAGACGGGGTGACACGCAGGTGAAACGGACAGGCGACACGGGGCGACAGGCGGGCGACACGCAGGTGACACGCTGTGAGGCGCCTGCACTTGCTGCCACCCGTAGTAGTTAGACTATGGGCATCCATCGCAATTAAATAGTTCACGGTAGTTCTTCTGATTGGAAAATTCTATCTGCTGCCCCCTGCAGTAGTTGGTTTTGGTGCTGGTGCGTCAACTTGTAGCCCGAAAACCGGCTGCATTTTCGCATGGCCGTGTAGCCTGCCAGGCGTTGTCTTGTAGCAAGGGTTGCGTGACGGAACGTTTAGGCTTGGTACTGTTTTGGGGGTACCGTCCGGGTCTTTCCACGCAAGCCTCCCGAGCCGGCTTTGGAGTTCGTTTGGTAAAGTTGCAAACCAATTCCGTCCAGCGTCTCGTCGACCACCAACAGCAACTAACTTAAAAAGTCCTTTGTGACATTTGCGAAAGCCAACCAGAAAAGCAACCAGAAAACAAACGAACGGTGGCTGTGGACAAACAAAAATGGACGGCTAGGAGCAAATATTCGGAAAGAAACTCATCAGATGAGTCGATCCCAAAGCCTGTGGTGTCGTCTCAAAATCAAAGGACTGGGCGAAGACCTGGGTGTGGCAACCAAAATTAACCAGGGGCAAACCGCAGGTTTTGGGAACCATGTTTCCACTTACTAGGGCAACCCATTTTGGAATTCTGCGAGTAAGCTTCAAGATTCCCGAGCGAAGATTCGCCCGGAACAAAAACATATAAACATATTGTCAGCATACAGTAGGTGGCCTTTTGGAAAAATCGATGGCCCTGGTAAATGGCACAAAACCCATCTAAACCAATGGAACCCGTCGATTTTTTAACCAAACCAACCTAGAAAGGACGCCTATGATTGTCAGTAGTCATAGCCTCCCTTTAAGACCTACTGTGGATGGACAAATCGGTGCACCACTTTGAAAACGTGGGGAACCCACTGTTTGTTGGCATTTACGTTGGGGAATCAACAGAAGCCATCGGTTTCTTAGGTGGTGCGCAATGGATTTCGCAACCATCAGCATCAGCTCAAAAAGTCGCCGAGAAAACCCAAACGAAGCAGTTCGCCGGCTTTCCCCGGCCTCGAATTGCTCGGGGCCACGACTTCTGGCGCGGAGAGAGGCGGCTGCTTCCCCAATTGGCTTGGCGGTGACACGGAGAGCTTTTTTGATTTGGGCGTGGCTGAAAATTAAGCAACTGGGGCAAACCACGGGTTTTAGTCTTTGGTTCCATTTACCAGCCAGTTTGGTACCACTTTGTTGAGCCACGGCCAAATCCCAAACCACCAATCCAAACCACCAAAAAAAGGGAACCGAATTGGAGTGGCAAAACGACTATTGCTGTGGTTGCCTTTTTAAAAGGGACACCGGAGGCAAAACCACCAATTCATTTTGAGACACACAAATGTTCGAGGACACTCTCAGGTTGCAACAGAACCATCAACTGGGTAACCCCTCACATCTTCCCAAACAAATTGCTCAGATTGCACCCACGAAGAATGAACACAACAAGAACATCAGGCATGAGAGGTATCTTCCCAAATTCTGTTACCCGCCAGAAAATGGGGACCCCCAATGAACAAAACCAGAGCTTCCCAAGCCCTGGTATGCCAACCAAACGAAATGCTCTTGCCTCTCAAGAACGACCAGAACCAACCAAACGGGCTTGTTTGCTCCCCCTGCTATCTTCCAAACGAATAGCATGCCAACTGCTCTTAACCGCAAACATGAAAAGAACAAGAATGCTAGGCCATGTGTCCCCAGTCGAAGTCATCACTGGACAACCTCTGCCCCTCCGAGCCGACCTCGAACCGAGCCGTTCCGAACCCCCCGCCTCGGCGTGTCACTGCCTTCCGGTATCTCGGCGGGTCGATGTGCAAGGCATCGATCAACAGCCGGTTCATGCCCTCGTCCATGGCGTCCGGACCGAAAAAAAATCCGATGGCGGAAGATGCGGCGATCGGAAGGCGAGCTTTGAGCCAAAAGGATCGAGGCGGAGGGGAGGCCCTGGGGTTTGGAGAACGGTGAGAAGAAAGGCAAAAGGTTCGCACCGCGGGCTAGAAATGGCGACCAATCTTCGACCCCTGTGAGCAACCGTCATTGCAAGGCAAACGCTTTACGATGCTTGCGTTTTTTTAACGAAGAAGCCGTTGCCAAAGATACCGCTGGCTCAGGAAGTCTCCTGTGTTTTGACAACTGACTGCCATTCCTGAAATGCAACAATTCACACCAGTTCTCTGAGCTTCGTCGACTTTTCTCAAATTCGTCTTCCCCCTCCATGGTCAAAACTAACCTCCCTCCCACAAAGGCTCCCTTGAAAAGGAAATGAATCTTCCAACCTCCCCACTGCCATGTTAGTTGGAGAAAGGGTAAAACCTTTTCTGTGACACCAAACATGCGATCCCTTGGACTGATTGCCTAGATCGTTTGGTAAAAGAGAAGACATCGACTTGCAGTGGCCTTGCGGACCAATCCTGAAGGCTCGGGGGGGGGGGGGGGAAGGAATTTTGTTGTTTTCTCCCCCGGCCTGGAGAACACGAGAACACCCTTGTGTTCTTTTTGTTTGTCGCGGGTGATGACCCGCGAAAAACCTGGCCACGCTGGAAAACAGCAACGACAAAAACATGCACGAGGAAACAAAACACACACACACACACAAAACAAACAACAAAAAGAAGAAGGCTTTCTTTTCAAACGCTGTGGTTGCTTTCCTTTTCTTTTTACTCGGCCTTTTTTGGACACAGGGTCTTTGATTTCCCATTTCGCCCGCGCTTTCCATCGCTTCGGGTCGCGGGCGGGCGACCAAGCGAGGCAGCTGATGTCCGCGCCAGGCACCTCGAGGCCAGCTCGGGTCTTTGGGGCTCTGCTCTCCAGCTAACATGCACAGACCCCTGTAGCCAACATAGTGCACAGACCCTAAGACGACTTTCTTGGAAAGGGCCTTTCTTTTGGCACTTCCATGTTGGTGGGAGGGTCATGGAAAACAACCGATTAGTGGGGGTTGAGTTCGGGGAGCAGTGGTTTAAGGGAAAACCCCTTAGTTGGCAGTGGCTTCGATGCCCAGTGGATTTCCATGGGGAAAAAAGGATCGGTAACCACTGGGCCATTTCCTCCAAAGGATTGAAAAAACAAACTCCACCAACAAAGAAAGGGTCACCTGGGGAACCCCTTTTTTTGGTTGGTTTGTGTTTAAAAGGGGAAAACACGGGCCACTGGGCAACAAAGGTGGGGTTCCCTAAGCTGGGGGTACACCTGCATGGCAATTCGGCCTCTACTTTTCTCTGAACTTTCTGGGGCTTTCCCAGTCTGGCGAAGGTTTCCAATCTGTCGCCCCATGGAACTGGAGTCAATCCCGTTCAGTGCGCTGTCGTTCCGTGCCGGACTCAATCGACTCAAACCCAAGTGGATGAAACATTTTGGCAATTCACCGAATCTTAAGGCAAGCCGGGCTCGGTTGAAAAATGATCTTGCAATCGTCCCCTCTTCCAAAGTCCAAAGCCCCTGTCACACTTGTTTGGTCGAGGCACCTCGACCAGGGTATAGGTGGCGAGGCCAAAACACACACCGCCTGCTTCAAGCCCGAAGCCCGTGCCTCCGCAGGCCGCAGCAACACATCGCCACTGCTGCTGAGGTACTGGCGGGAGAAGAGTTTTCGGATTTTCGGACATGGGGCACCTGAGAACCACATGTAGCACTGAGTTTTTCAGCAACCAACCTCTAGGTGTTTAACAAATTTAATGGGGTCGTGGGGCACGTTAGCACCACTTGTAGCCATTACCAGCACCCCCAAGCGCTGCCTTTTGGACAGTTGGGATTTTTTCGACATTGGAAACAGCAGTTGGGACCCGGGTGCCGGTATGGCAGTAAACTGTCAGTGCTTCTTTTGCACTCGCTGAAAGGATCTAACATATTCATCAAGGCCGGCGTCAAGTGAGGGCAAGTTTGAGTTTCGACCCTTGCCACCACAAATGAACGGAACCAAAGCCAGCACGCCCCAACAGGGATCCTGAAATTATACACCTGAACATTGCCTTGTAAATGGTGGTTTCCGGTTATTTTGGTGGAAAAAGCCATGTTTCAAACTTCAAATGGGCAAAATGTATCTTTTAAGGAGCCCACACACGCTCCGCTTGCGCAGTTCCGCTGTAAAAAAATCCGCAGTTTTGCTCAGAAGTGATCGATTCCCACTGAAACCAAAACGGAAAATTGGCAAGATATTCTTGGGCAACTGGAAGACAAGGAAGGGATCAAAACTGAAGCTCCAGCTGCGTTGCGCAAGACGACCAATGGGGACCTGACACCAAATGTGTAGGGTGTCACTACCAGCTATGGGTGTGTCCATTTCTTGGTGATTGTGGAGGAAAGCCACAATTTTGTGGGGTCCCCTAAGGTGAAAACAAGACACGCCCATGCTGGTGAGCTCTTGAGAACTTGAGGGGATTCTTGGGCGAAAGGAGAATGTCAATCTCACAGGGTGTTTTCACGATTCCTCGTTGGATGCGGGGCGGCATCGAAGAAGCCCCGCACTTTTCGCTTACGGCGTATCGAGAGCCTTCAAAGGGCGGAAGTGGCATTGAGTGTCAGCTTGGGGTCTGTGCACCTCCATGTTCGTGATCATTTCAGCGGTAGCGCCTAGCGAATCCCTGCGCATGTCCCGCAGGCCTACTGAAAGACATGCACACCCACCGAGGGGAAAGTGGGCGCTTTGCCCAAAGTGGGCCAGCCGCCATTCCTGTGATTACTGCGATTTCCCGATTTTTGTTATAAGGGATTCCCAAAGGGGGAGGCCCGCAGAGTGACTACTGTGTGTCTTTGAACATGGACTCACCAACATTAGCCCGCACAAAGCCGCCGCAAAGTTGGTTTTGCCCTACCATGAAACACACCTGAACTAGCCTGAACTCATCCGTGAATGAGCATGAGCCGCGATTTTGACACTCAGGTTCAACAACTGCGCCACAATTCCAGTTTAACAGTGAGCCAAAATCGACACCTGCTACTAGAATGACCTAACCAGAACCATCTAAGGAATTACAAAGGCGGCATTCCGCACCCATGTATGCTTGGGATTGTCTTCTCAGGTTTGGATTGTGGCTTTCAGGCGAAACCACAAACTCCAATGAACAGTAACCCTCGAAGCTTGACCCCTGGAATCCTCTGCCCGTCCTGCTGCTCGACAGCGGCCATTTAAGCCATGGATGCTTTTGGGCGACAGCAAAAATACTGATGTGAGTTATTGCTTGGAGTGGGGGTCAAAATGGAGACCTGGCAAAATAAAAGGCGACTATCTGTTGCCTTCTTCCTTTCCGGATTGTTGTTGATTGGCGTTTTATGTCAACGTGTGGTTGCTTGGTTTTCTCCGAGGCTGTGTTGGCTGACGTTGTTTTCTCAAAGCCCAGTTTCCAGTTGGTTCTTCCTCAAATATTTCCCCATGTGACAATATCACCAACTCAAGCGGTGAGCGGGGCTGCGGATTGGGTGCTCGTTTGGCATGTGTCCATCTTTCAAAATCGCCCAGTGGAACTCAAATTCCAAATCCAGCGAGAAGCAACTCCACCAACTGGGCTGTCCTCAGATCCCCCGCAAAAAGTTTAGATTTTAGTGGTTAAACCTTAAAAAACTAAAATCCTAAGCAACCGGACGGCTAACCGCCAAGTCGATAGCCCTTTGGGAATCTTTGAGAGGTTGAGACCGTTGTAAACCCCCGAATCCCTGGTTGAATCGCGAGTCTGCACGCAGTATGGAAAGGCGCCAGTTTCTGGTGAAATTTGTGTCAGAATCAACACTGATCGGTACTAAATGGTGTACCCGAAACCATGTCCATGAAACACTCCCATATACAGTAAATGACGGTAATTTGATATACTCATATCCGAATCGGTTTCAATTGCGGCGTTGATCTCCTGCTTTGGATGTACCTGCATCTGTCTACCGCGGTTTTTGCTCGCAAACAGAAACATGTTTGTTCGGATTCTGGCCGTCCCTTAAAGTGACATCGCCAGGATGACTTCTCAAGCAAAATTTGAGAACCCCCGAAACTCTTCACTCCAATGGACCCACTATTCGCTGCACCTGAAGTTTCAGGGGCTCCAGCTTGCCAAAGTGCCAACGCAAACACACGCATGGTTTCGCTGCCGGCTCGCTGCGTCCCCTTGAGGGACCAAGCCATACGAAAACGCGCCAACCACACGTTGACCCCGCCCCAGCGACTCTCGAAGATGCACCAAAAACTCGAAAAAACTTGTCGCCGGTATTTTATTTGTTCCCGCTACTCTTGTTTTTTCCTCACCTGCGGGAAACCCCAACAAGGTTGGTTATGGCTGGGTGTTAAAACACATTTGGATGTGTGCTTTCTTAAGAATCGGACCCACCAAAATGGTGGCTTTCCTTTTGGATTCCCTTTAAAACCAATTAACCGAATAATGGCACCCGCAAACATGCCCATGTTGTAAACAACCGACTTCTGCCTGGGCCAAAGTGCAGTCGCCCAAAAATGTGAGACGAGTCGAGCTCTCGCGCGGCGACTCATTTGTAAGGCGCCTCGACAAATGGCGGCATCCGGTTTTGAGGGTACCCTTTTTGGGATGGTTTTAAAAGGAACCCAAAACGGAAACACCCATTTTGAGGGTCCATATCCTTCTGAGACTAACCCATAACCCTTCTTCGGTTGCCCTGAGCTACATTTCTTCATGTACGCACTAATTCAACCCACCCACATATCATCTGGCCCACATGTTTCAGCGGCGAGCAACCATAAACCATGACCCAGACTTTGTTGGCTGGTTGCCCAGAAAAAGCTGGCTAGAACTGTCTGGGCAACTAGATGTCATTCCAAGGTCTGAACTGAAGCCTCCCATCTGTTCAACCATCAGACTCTGTTTGTGTGGCTCACGGCGGTGGTTTTCTTAGTAGAGCCCATCAAGCATCAAACAACAAGCAGTAAAACACGTAAACACCAATCAGCAAACTGCTAAAGAGCCCAGAATTATTTTCACCACCCTCGGGTGCAAGCGTTTTGGCCACACACATGACACATATTCGGCAAGCTCCGTTTAGTGGGCAATAGGTTCGTTTCAGGGGAACTCTTCTGATGACATGGTCCAAAGAAATCCGAAATTAACATGGGGTACCGGCACTTGAGCACATACTTGTTCGATTGTTCGAGGCCATCCTTTTTTGGGGCTGCTACAAGGATAAACCGAGCTGGGCAGGACCCCGTGAACTCATCTGTTGCGGTTTCAGGGAAACAACAATAAACACCACTGAGGCAGTTTTAAAGGGAACGCAAAAAGGCAAGCCGCCAAACAAACGCATAGCAACCCATTCACCCCGTTTAGGACCAAGGTCTAAGCGCCCTCTTGGTGCCGGATTTGGGTTTTGGGCACCGGCAATTTCGCGGTTCTGTTCCGGAAAGTTGAAATCAAGAAACAACATACTGTTGGTTTCCGCAGTTTTGATGGCGCTTTTCCAAACCCGCGGTTCCTTAAGAACCAGCAAGTGTCTTCCTTCTCAGACATCACTGCTAAATAACAATCCTAAAATTGGAAATGCAGCCCTTGGTATGGGCCACATCTGGGGAACACGGGCAATATGATTTTCTGGGCATGTATGATATTTACTCCACCCATACTCCACCCCTAACAAAAGGAAGCCCCCAAAACCGCCGTTCTCAAGCAACGGGTCTTAGCTCCCAAACAAATGGAAAAAAGGAAACCTGCCAGCCCCCCCCCCCCCCCCAACAACTGTTTTTCCAATTTCCAAACCGCCAAGCACTGTCCCATTCTAGCGTGGTCTAGGTTTGTTTGGAGGCCAGGTGTTCTGCAGATTCCCGTTCCCAGTTGCCCTCCAAAACCCAACTGGGACCCCAGTGCGGGCCTTACCCGGGCTGCCCGTTTTCAGATACCCCGCTAAAAGTGACTAACTTTTAGTGGGAATGGAAACTAGCATTCAACCAACTAAAAAAACAACGACTAAACAAAAAAAACAGCGAAGAGGCTAAGTTGAACCGGACGCCAATTTCCCTTTTCCGCGCGCCTTCAGGCGAGCACCTCGGAGGCGAGCACCGCGCCCAAGGCGTGGCCGGCGCCTGGCGGAGTGCGCCCGTCGGACGAAACCAAGGGACATGCGCGGGAAACCAAAGGAAGCTCAAGGACAGCCAAGAGGGGGGAAAAATAACGACTTTTTTTTTGGGGGGGGGGGGGGGAAGCAAAGGGAACCCGCGCAAAAGCATCCGGGCAAAACCAAGGAAAAGTCATAGAAAGACGGAAAGGGAAACCCAAGGGAAACCAGAGGAACAGCCAAGGGGAACCAAAGGGAAACCATTGGAAACCCAAAAAGAAACCTGAAGCAGCAAAAAAAAAGAGAAAGGAAAACCACGAAGAAAACTCAAGGACAACCCGGGGCAAACCAACATCCAAGGGAAACCAAAGGAAAGGACGCTTGAGGTTGCATAAAAAACCCGGTGAATTTAAAGTCGCTTTTCTGGGGTCATCGTTTTGTTAAACTTGCAGTTTTGGAGCTTTCTGCGCTTTCAACCTCGGAATCGCAACGGGCAACCCTACCCGTAGGGTGTGCCGCTGACGTGTTTTGTTGCACCCCAAGCTCCTCCTCAGCATCCCCTTACATCACCTGCGCGCAGGCCAGCCCAAACATTTGGACCCCATGCGACTGGCTCCTGAGGCCACGTTGCCCAACCTTCAAAAACACTGTAAATACCGTGCAAATCGTTTTTGGGAGTCGCCAGCATATGCCCGCCAACATCCTCTGCATCCTCGCCAACTTCACCAGCATCCCCAGCATTCCTGCATCACCAACATGTGGGCTTTCCAGCATCCCTTGCGTCCCAGCGCCGCTCACTTGCCCGAGAGTAGGTTTTGGCGGCGGGCAGACATAGCGGGTATGTTTGCAACCAAATGGGCGGGCTTTCTGCGTAAGCAAGGCCGGCGCCACTAGGTAAAAAACATCGCACACACCGCGGTTTCTATGGGACTTAGTGGACTAGGTGTGCGCCACGCACGAGTGGGAGGGGGTGGGGGCGGAAATGCGAGTGGGAGGGTGCTGAGTGGGAGACGTTGGAGCAACCGTGCAGCCAACCAGCGCAGCTGTTGATAAGCCCTAGCATAACACAAACCGGCGGTCGTCAACCTGTGCGGCACAAGATCCGCGGCTGCGGTGCCTCGGCAGCATCACCTTTCCTGTACCTTTTGCAAC